CTGGTTTGGCTCAGTGGATAGAGCCTCGGTCTGTGGTCTGAAGGGTCCCAGGTTTGATTCCGGTCAAGGGCACATGCCTGGATTGCGGGCTTGATCCCCAGTAGGGGGCGTGCAGAAGGCAACCAATCAATGATTCTCTTTCATCATTGATGTTTCTAGCTCTCTCTCCCTCTCACTTCCTCTCTGAAATCAATTTTAAATAAGATAAAATAAAAATATTAGGTCAATGGTATATAGGTAATGTTCTTGAGTTACTGAGGTTTGGAAAACTATGATTATCTTAGAGACTGTAGCAAAACCTGAGCGCTTATTGGTGTACGCTTTGTCCTGACCTGATGTTCAGTTTTTTCATGTATCTCTCCGTGCAGCTTTTGGGTGGCCCTTGACAGATAAGGAAGACTGGCTTATCTTTCCTGTGTCCCCCACCAGCACCAGCACCAGCACAGCTGGACGTGTTAGTCACTAGTGAACCTGGCTGAGGGGTTCCTCTTTCCCCAGTGTCCTTATCCTCCCTGCTATACACTTGGCTCTCCTTAGTTCCCCAGGGATAGGTAACAATGGGAAGACGCCCCCAGCACCCAGCTACAATAGGATGGGGCAGTGGGGAGTCTGTGAATGATGCACAGGTACTCCTCAAAAAGTTTAACATAGAATCCTATATAATAAAAGCCTAATATGCTAAGTGTCCAGTCATCTGGTTGGCCATTCAACCAGTCAAAGCATAATATGCTAATGATATGTTAAGGCCGCTCAACTGCTCGCTATGATGTGCACCGACCACCAGGGGGCAGACAGTCAACCGGTCGACCAGTCACTATGACGTGCACTGACCACCAGGGGGCAGACACTCCGACTGGTAGGTTAGCTTGCTGCTCGGGTCTGGCCGATTGGGACTGAGCAAGATGGGCCGGATACATCCTGGACCCCTCCTGCAATCCCTCCCTAGTGGCCAACCTCCTGTGTCCCTCTTCAGCCCCGATCGTGAACTGGCAGGGTCCCTCAGCCTGGCCTGTGCCCTCTCGCAATCCAGGCTGAGGGACCCCTCCCCCCCAATGCAGAATTTTGTGCACCAGGCCTGTAGTTATATATAATCTAGTAATTCTACCCCTAGGTATATACCCCAAAGTATTAAAAACAGGTACTCAAAAAATATATGTACACACATGTTCATAGCACTATTCACAATCATCAAAAGATGGAAACAACCCCAATGCCTATTAATGGACAGATGGGTAATATTCCATTGTGGTACATCCATACAATGGAATATTATTCAGCCATAACAGGAATGAAGCACTGGCACAAGCTGTAATGTGGATGAACCTTGAAAACATGCTAAGTGCAGTAACCATGTGTGCCACATATTATAGAACTCCATTTATGTGAAGTCTCCAGAATAGGAAATCCACAGAGATAGAAAGCAGATTGGTGGTTGCCAGGGGCTAGGACAGTGATGGCGAACCTATGACACACGTGTCAGAGGTGACACACCAACTCATTTTTTTGGTTGATTTTTCTTTGTTAAATGGCATTTAAATATATAAAATAAATATAAAATATATAAATCTTTGTTTTACTATGGTTGCAAATATCAAAAAATTTCTATATGTGACACGGCACCAGAGTTAAGTTAGGGTTTTTCAAAATGCTGACACGCCGAGCTCAAAAGGTTCACCATCGCACTGGGCTAGGAGGAGGGGAGAATGGGAAACAATTTCTTAATAAGTATGGGGTTTCCTTGGAAGAGTGATGAAAATATTTTGGAACTAGATAGACCTGGTGGTTGTACAACATTGTGAATGTACTAAGTACCATTGCATTGTTCACGTTAAAAGTTTTAATTTTATGTTATGTGAATTTATTTCAATTTTTTTAAAACTCCAGAAAAAGGTAAAGCTTTTACAAACTTTGTAACCATAATTATTACCAGTAATAGAGACTTGTTGATACCAGTATGTCAGGACACGGTGAGAATCCTTGCCTGTAACCATCTGCCAGGTTTATTAACTGGCTTCTAATTACACTTCTCCTTGTGGCTGAGGGCAGGACACCAGGGATTTCTAACTCAGATGCCTTCAGGGCCCAACCTGTTGGGATAAATATTTGAGGTCAGCTGGGTGTGAGGCAGCAGGGAGCAGTGGGGATTGTGGGAGATGGGGCTGGACCTGCACTACCTGTAGGCATTCAGAGGCAGACCGTCTCTCTCCGGGCTGATTCTTGCCCCATCTCCATCATTGCCATCCCTCCTAAACCAACTGACAGACTAGGCTGTTTTATACATCGTCTTCAGTATGCCATTCAGTGGCTAAAAACCCTTTTCCTGTAACAGAACCCAAACTTCTCTGCTTCCCCTTCCAGCAGAGAGTATGAGGAAGTTTAGCTGGTTCCATGTGCATATGTACCGTGAAACTCTTTTTAAAAAAAATATTTTTATTGATTTCAGAGAGGAAGGGAGAGGGGCAGAGAGAGAGAGAAACATCAATCATGATAGAGAATCATTGATCAGCTGCCTCCTGCACACCCCCAGTTGGAACTCCAGCCTGCAACCTGGGCATGTGCCCTGACCAGGAATCCAACCTTGACCTCCTGCTTCATAGGTTGAAGTTCAACCACTGAGCCACACTGGCTGGGCATGTACCATGAAACTCTTACCCTCCTCCCCACTGTGCCTTGGGCCAGCCACCTGGAGATTTGGGGTAACAGGACTAAACCCCATTGCCTATGAAAAGGGGGGATCTCTCTGAACTTTTGATTTAAGGATGGCTCCGGAGAAACGGCCAGCAGCTGGTGGCCCCTCTTTGGAGGTTCAGTGGGCTTCTGTACTGTCACTTCCTTTAGTGCCCGCAACCTGAGTGCACATTCGTGAGAGAGAGAGAGAGAGAGAGAGAGAGAGAGAGGCATAGAAGAACCTGGAAAGATTTTTTAAAAATATATTTTATTGATTTTTTACAGAGAGGAAGGGAGAGGGATAGAGAGTTAGAAACATTGATCAGCTGCCTCCTGCATACCCCCCACCGGGGATGTGCCCGCAACCAAAGTACATGCCCTTGACCGGAATTGAACCTGGGGCCCTTCAGTCCGCAGGCCGACGCTCTATCCACTGAGCCAAACCGGCTAGGGTCTGGAAAGATTTTTAGTAGATGACATGAAGAAAGGTTTTTTTTTGTTTTCTGTTTTTTATCTGCCCAGCACTCAGAGGCCTGGGCCCTTTCAGGCTGCTGGAAGCAGGGAGTGGGGAGGGCCGTGTCAGGGGAGAGGGTGTGGAGGAAGGAGACTTAGCGCATTAGGTTCAGGGAGTGGCTGGCACGGTTTTCTTTTGTGCCTCCAGCTCCGTGGCTGCTTCTAAACCCTCTTTACTGATGATTTTCTGAGAACCACATAGGGCTTGGAGATTGTTGGCCCCATCCTTTCCATGTGGTAACAGTTGGACATTGGCTGGGAGTGGGTAGCATGGCAGGAAAAGTACAGTTGTATGCCTGCAGGACCTGCCTAAGGCCCTTGCCCTACACCTCCCCAGCCTGAGCGGCAGGGAAGCCTTCCTCCTTCCCTGGAATCCTGTGTTCAGAACTCTGAATTCCACGTGGTCAGTGTCTGGCCCCCGAGTGGTTGTGTTTGCTCCGGGCCTGCGGAACCATCCACACTTGGAAAATGGAGGCTTGCCCTTCACAGATCCAGGGCGTTCACTCGCTGCCCCCTCCGGCAGAGTTCCTTGGCTCAGCTTACAGCACTGCAGTCAATTAGCGTTGTTGCTCTTTTGGGGGAGATTGGCTCCCACAGGGCACACTTATCGCTGAATCGTCCTGTGCGTGAGGTGGCTGCCTCAGCTGCTGTCCGAGGAACGGCAGGATGGCTCCCACACCGCGATGCTTTGGCGTTAAACCTGGGAGACGGCCCCGTATAACCAGTTCAGCCACCAGTTCTTCCTTATAGAGAACATCATGGGTGTGAACGCGTGTGTACCCTCTGATCCTGGCAGCCACTTCCCAATGGGGAGGGGGTGAGTTCCTGGAATAAGGAGAAATCTCTGTGTCCCAAAATGTGTTTCCTTATGAGCTTAAGTAAAGTACCTTGAATTGGTTCATGGAGACTGTCCAGACACGAAACCTTGGAAATCCAACATGCACGTCCATTCCTTGTGGGCCGGGAAAGGACTCTGGGTTATCCTTGTACCTCAGTCTGTGAAGCCGTTGCTTCCTGATGTGTTGTAAAGTGAGCTTATGCGTTTGTATGTACTAGTATGTGTGTGTATTTTCAATGATAGTGTTATTTAGATATTCTTCATGTACCATGAAGTTTAGGCTATAGCCCAGCAGTGCCCTGGCCAACAGAAAGCCCAAGTATCCCCTCCTCAGAGGGGTCAGCTGTGACCTCAGCGCCTTCCTTAGGGGGTGAATGGGCCGTGTGTTATAAGATTAAGAGAGAAGGCTCTTCGTTAGCCTGCGGACTGAAGGGTCCCAGGTTCGATTCCGGTCAAGGGCATGTACCTGGGTTGCGGGCACATCCCCAGTGGGAGATGTGCAGGAGGCAGCTGATCGATGTTTCTCTCTCATCGATGTTTCTAACTCTCTATCTCTCTCCCTTCCTCTCTGTAAAAAATCAATAAAAAATATGTTTAAAAAAAAAAAAAAGAGAGAGAGAGAGAGAAGGCTCTTGAGTCAGGCTGCCTGAGTTTCAGTCCTCACTTATTTGGTGGGTGGCCTTGGAAAATTTAATGGTGCCATAGTTCAGTTTCCTCACCTCAGTTTCCTCTGTGAAACAGAGGTGGCAGTAGTACCCACCTCGTAAGGCTGTGTGTGGTTTGGAGATAATGCTGATAAAAGACGTGGCATAAAAATGGTGCCTCGTAGGAGTGACGGCTCCGACCATCAGTCAGTCCTTGGTAGCTGCATGATGGAGCCTGCACAGGAGAGGACAGTGGGTCCCCGAGGGCTCTGCATTTGGTGGTTGCCCTGTGACTAATGCAGACTCTCTGGTTTCTTTGTATTCCTTTCCTGGCCCAGTATTGATCCTCCAGAAGGTGGAGAATGGAGACCTGAGCAACAAGATCCTGAAGATCACTGACTTCGGCCTGGCTCGGGAGTGGCACCGAACCACCAAGATGAGCGCGGCAGGGACATATGCTTGGATGGCCCCTGAAGTCATTCGTGCCTCCATGTTTTCCAAAGGCAGCGATGTGTGGAGGTAAGGCTCAAGGGTGCAAGGTCAGTGTCCCCTGGGTCTGTGTTGGCTGCACACACACTTCGAGACTTGGAGAACTGAGGTTGCATAGATGCCCAGGAACCCCAAGTAGGTCTAAGTGACCCCTTCAGAGAAATCTACACTAATTCCCGAGTTGCCAGGGACAGTTTCCAGTGCCTTCATCTGCCAGAAGTCCCTCCAGTGCTGTGGCAAATGCACATCTATGCCGGCCCCTCTCTGTCGGTGATTGCTCCCTATGGAAGGTCAGGGGCAGTGTGTACTCCCATCGCTGACTGTAGGGGGTGAGGGCACTCCGTCACTCCTGGAGACCTTCACCACGGTCACCCTGGCTTGCTTAGCGACAGTGCTCTTACTGCTGGACTTGTCCCCACTATAAGCTCCTGGGATGATAAGTATTCACCGTGCTGTCTCTTTTTTCTGATGGCTGGAAATTATCCTTTCCAGTTATCCGGTTAACCTTTTTAGTCTATCTGTTGAATGTGGATAAGGAGTAGGAAAAGAAGTCTAGGCATGGCCCAGAAATGCATGGTCACAGATTGGACCAGCCATCTGCCTAATAAATATCAGCCCACGAGGTCACTTTTGTATTCCTTTTAAGAGGAATACAGGTTTTGTGTGAACATATGGATCTAAAACTCTTGTCCCCACTGATGGGAGGACAAGAGGAGGAGCATCTACAGAGCATGCAGCCCGTGGCTGTGAGACTGGGCATCACCTTGGTACGCAAAAGAAAGGACGATAGGTTATCGTTGTACCTCAGTCTGTGAAGTCGTTGCTTCCTGATGTGTGGTAAAGTGAGCTTATGTGTTTGTATGTATGTGTGTGTATTTTTAATAACAGCATTATTGAGATAGTCACATTTACCCTTTAAAAAGTATGACAGTGGTTTTTAGTAAATTTACAAAGTGTTATACCAGTCACCATTGTTATTAGTTTCCTAGGGCTGCTATAACAAATTACCACAAACCTGGTGTCGTAAAACCAAAGAAATGTATAGTTTGGGGACCAGAAGTCTACAGTTAGTGGCCCTAGGGCCACACCCCTTCCAGAGACTCTAGGGGAGATTCTGTTCCAAATAAGGCTTTTGGGTATGAAGACATGGACATAACTTTTTCGGGCCACCATTCAACCTACTATAACCACTATCTATTTTCAGAATATTTTTATTACCCAAAAAAGAAACCTGATACCCCTTAGCAGTCATTTCCTAATCTGCCCTGGCAACCGCAAACTTACTTTCTGTCTTTAGGGGGCTATTCCAGACATTTCATACAAATGGAATCATATCATATATGGTCTTTTGTGACTGGCGTCTTTCATTTAGCATAATGTTTTCAAGGTGTATCCATGTGTTAGCATGCGTCAGAACTTCATTCCTCTAATAGCTGAATAATATTCCATTTATGGATATACCACAGTTTGTTTATCCATTGTTCATCAGTTGATGGACATTTGGGTTGTTTCCACTTTTTTGCTCAGTGCTGCTATGGACATCTGTATACAAGTTTTTGTGTGAACATATATGTTATCAGTTCTCTTGGGTATATACTGAGGAGCGAAATTGCTGAGTCACGTGGTAATTCTATGTTTAACTTTTTGAGGAACCCCCAAGATATTTATCTTTCTCTGACTGGCTTATTTCACTTAGCATAATGCTCTCCATGCTGTTGCAAATGGTAAAAGTTCTTTCTTTTATACAGCAGTGTAGTATTCCATTGTGTAGATGTACCACAGTTTTTTAATCCACTCATCTGCTGATGGGCACTTAGGCTGTTTCCAAATCTTAGCTGTTGTAAATTGTGCTGCTAGAAGTGTATTTCTTTTAAGGAGTAGTCCAGTTAGTCCAGACTGGTGTGCCCTATGAGATCATTCAGGAACCCAGGTTCTTTCAGGCCTCTCAGTGCATTGTTCTTGCCTGAATGGTTACATCTGAGTTGACTGTTGCTTCTGCATTACAGTCTGCAGAGAAGGGGAATGAGAGCTTATCCGTGGCAAGCAGTTTGTCTTTCATTTGGAGATGACCCAGAAGTTGTGCACATCTCCTCTGTGCACACCTCATTGCCTGCTCTAGGTTATGTATGCACACCTGGCCCCAAGGGAGGCAGACAGCTGTAGGCTGGACAACCATGTGCCCAGCTAAAACTCTTATTATGGAAGAAGGAGAGAATGGATTCTGGGGGACAATCAACCACTTGCCACACTCAACCTCATCTTAACGTTCTTCATGGGACAACAGGACTTCTCAGTAGCATGATTGTTTTCTACTTTCTACATTCCTGCTAGCCTCTTCTCCCAGCCTGGCCCCAAATCACTCAGGATTAATTGTCACATTCCCAAGATTTCTGTTGCTGCAATGATTTCGGCAGAGTTGCCTCTGGATACCAGGTTCATTCTTAGCGGGAAGAGCAAACCCAGATGCCTAATGTCAGATCTTCTCATAGTGATAGAAATCCAGGCAAGGAAGGGCAAGGCCATTGCAGGGCTCTGTCCATCAGGGAAGTAACAAGGCAGAACCTTTCAGCTTTTACCCAAAGTGTCCTTGTTCCAAGACTAAGCTCCAGGATTTGCCCTGAAAGCAGGCTTGAGGAGCCTCTGGTGAGAGGCATCTGATAATGTTGTTCTACTACCTGAAGGGAGTAGCTGGGAGGTAAACTTCAAATCAACTGCACTTTGGATGAGGTGTCTTGGAATTTGTCTCATCGTCTGCTCTGCCAGTGGCTCTCTGGATTGGGACTGTTCCCGGGGCTCAAGCCTCCTGACTCAGCGTGGTTGATGAATGTGGTTTGAAAACATAATTCACCCTATTTCTTTCTAGCTTCCTTAGCTTCCATGCTTCAGTATTTCTTTCTAGGACACCATCTACTGAACCCATTAAATGAGCCTTTTATCTCTTTCTCTTTAAGCCTGCTCATCTAAGTGGCTCCAAATGATCTTGCATCTTTACCAGAAGAAAACACGTGCCCATTGCTCTTCATACAGCACACATACACTGGTAGCAGCATTTACCGCCTACAAATGCTTACAGGCCAGGCTCTATACTGAATGCCGTACATCGTTTATCTCATGTGTGGGATGAAATGGAGGTATTTTATTGATCATTGTAAGTTTCTAAAGTTACAGTAGTAAAACGTGTTCACTATAGAAAAAATTAGAAAATATGGATAAACAAAGAAAAAAGAAAGTCACCCACAACTTACTTCCAAAGATAACCTATATTAATATTTTGGTGTACTCATTCCTGTTTACATGCTCATCCACCCATCCCTTAAAATAGGGTCATTCTGTTTTTTAAGCTACTTTTTTTAAAAAAATATATTTTATTGATTTTTTACAGAGAGGAAGGGAGAGAGATAGAGAGTTAGAAACATCGATGAGAGAGAAACATCGATCAGCTGCCTCCTGCACATCTCCTACTGGGGATATGCCCGCAACCCAGGTATATGCCCTTGACCGGAATCGAACCTGGGACCTTTCAGTCCGCAGGCCGACGCTCTATCCACTGAGCCAAACCGGTTTCGGCAAGTGACACAGTTAAGCTACTTTTTAAATATAACATTGCATGAGCATATCAAGAAGTATGTATTGCCAATAAAAATATCAATGTATATGTTACATAAATTTGTTAGTAAATATGTTATCATTTTGAATGAGGACCCAGCTAACAACAAGAAGAATTATATGCTACTTTACAATTTACAAAGTGTTTTCACATATTTTAAGTTCAGTTGTTTTTGCCAAAGATTAGTAAACAGTCAGTGAGGTTCCTGAATGTGGGGTCACAGCTGATTACCAAGTGCAAGAGCCCATTCAGGGGGCACCTCTCCCTTTAGGGCATGGACCCCTGAGTTGACAGTTATCCCTAATAAACAGGTTAGCCCTAATTTAGAGGTAACACAGGTTAAGAAGAAAAACAGTCCTGGTCCAGTTCAGGTGCGGAATTGCTGTGCCTTTGGTCGGGAAGGATTGCTATCCACTCCCATGCTTTTCTTCAAGTTGAAAAAAATAAAACACCCCTCCCCCACCTTTGACCATACCCAACGGGGGAAGGTTACCACACCTCGGGAGGTGGCTAATTAATGACATCGGGTGAGTTCCCAGAGGGCAGCACTGTGGGAGCTGGCGGTTCTCTGTGGGGGAGGGAGTCCCAGGCAGTGTTTAGGTGGGTGCTTCCAGGCTGCTTGTAAATGGTCTTGGAAGGATCTCTTGACCTTCCCTGTCAATCCCAGGAGGGCAACAAATTAAACTAAACTTGAGGTAAATCAGTGGGCTTCTGCCCGCCTCTCCCTGGGCCTCAGACCCTACTAACGTGTATTTCTCCAGTTTCTTTCTTGGACTCTATTGCTGTGAAAGGAACACCAAGACTTCCTTTATATCACCCACCTTCTGTTACAAAAATAAACAGGAACATTGGCAGAGGGAAACTCGGACTGGTTGAGTCATCCCGGAAAGGCTTCTTCCAGAAGGCAGGTGTCCTTCAACAAGGCCCTCCCCACACACGGAGGGCTCTCCCCAGCTCCCACCAGCCACTGTCACGTCAGGCCCTCTCCAAGGGCAGCACCGATGTTTGCTGGCCACGGGTGGTGACTTCTGGATGAGGAGCAGTTGTTATTCTCTGCTCTGCGAGGTGTAGGGGGGAGGCCGTCTTTGTACAGGTGAGGGAACAGGTCTGGAGCCATGAACTTGCTTTCCAAGGTCATATGGCTGGTAAGTGGTAAAGCAGGCATTTGACTGAAGTCTATCTCGATCTTTCTTGGGGAGTAGTCCTCCCATTTCACTTAGTTGTAGAGCCCTTCAAATGGAATGGAATGCTGATGCCCAAAGAAGCCAGCCAGGTATGAGCAGAGCTGCTCTTGTTGCAGCCGAGAGGTGCCTGGCTCCTCCCTTTTCCAGGTGGCTTGAGACTTCTCCATGGGTCACCTAGGGCTCCGCACGAGAACCGTCACACGGGGGATGCTAGGACACAAAGAGGATGCATGTTTGGATCTTTGAAACTCTACTGTCTTTCCAGGTGGTTAGGGTTCAGACACCATTTGTCTTTGCCTGGATGGGAGAAAGAAGTTCTTTGGGACCGTGAGTGTTCCTTCCTTGGGGTGGAGGTGGGCAGTAATGCCAAGGGCAGGCAAGAGGAAAGTCGCTCTAACCTAGGAATACAGCCAGCAGTGCTGAGAGTTTATGTGGTAAAAGCTGCCCAGCATGAGCTCTGTCTGGGGGCCACATTAAAGGTCTGGTAGGAAGTATAACAGTGCAGTTCTTGGTGGTTTTCAGGCCTTACTCAGGGTTACCCAGTGCACCCTGCAGGACCATCTCACCAGGCACTCACTCCCACACCTCTCCACCAACTCACTCACTAAATGAGTGCCTACTATGTACCAGAGCCTGAGCCAGGCCCTGAGAACGCAGATTAAACACTACTATCCCTGCCCTCTAGGAGCCCATAGGCTGGTGAACAATCAACTACAGTATGTGGCAGCCCAAACAAAGGCTGCGTAACACCTGGAGGTGTTAGGCAAGGCTCCCTAACGTGTCCAGTTGTTCCCATCAGCCTCAGTCTAAAAATCCAGCACCTTGTCCAGACAAGACTTTGGAACTGTCTACCAGGCTTTTTCCTGTCAAGATATATCAAGTGTTTGGAGAGGTCACTGGGGTAAAGCCATTGTCTTAGGAGACTGGCCAGGCCACTCTGAGGGTCCATGTGTAGGGATCCCCTGGCTGCCCTGGCTCATGGGTTGGCACATTGTTGCTCTTTGGGGCCATGCCAGGCCACTTGGGCTTCTTGAAAGACAAGTTCATGTGTTTGTACGTGCTGATCCCTGTCTCTGGAGCACTAGCTCTTCCTTCACTCAGCATTCGAGGTCTAGCTCCAGGTTTAGCAATCTCCCATCCCATCCTGGTCTGGTTTGGGCGACCCTCCTTTGTGCTCTCATAGTATCTCTGTGGTGACTCATTTCTCCATATTCTAATTGAAGGCCTTTCTGTTCCTCTCATTAATCTCTTCGTGGATAAGATCTGTATCTTTTTTTTTTTTTTAATCCTTACCCGAGGATATGTTTTTATTGAAGGGAGAGGGAGAGAGAGAAAAAAATTGATGTGTGAGAGAAGAAACATTGACCGGTTGCCTCCCATACTCACCCTATCTGGGGATCTGAACCTGCAACCCGAGTATGTGCCCTGACCGGGAATCAAACCCAAGACCTTTCAGCTTAACCAACTGAGCCACACCAGCCAGGGCAAGATCTGTATCTTTTATCCTGTATCCTAGTGTGTGGCATTGAACTTGATGCATAATAAAGATTTAACAGATGTTTAAAATGAATTAATAAATGGTGGTGCACTTGAATCGGATCTTGAAAGACTGTTAGAGTTTCCCAGGCAGAGACATGGTAGAAGGACATTCTAGAGAGAAAGAATGGAAAGGTGGTGCAGGGTCCACCATGACTTACTTCATGTACCTATATGCCCTTAATATATGCTGCTCAACCTTTCTAGAGCTTGCTTCCTCATCTGCAAAATGATGATGAAACTTACCTTGCAGGTTTGTTGTAGGGATTCAAGATGGTGTTTGTAAATGTCATAGCACCCTGCACATGCAAGGTACCACGATAAAATAGATACTGGGTTCTTTCTTTCTTTTAAATTAATACAACTTTTTGTTGTTTGTAAACTACTGATGAATATTAAAAAATTCGAGGTTTGTGTTGAAAATATAAAAAGAGCCACTGTTCCAACCGTTCATGGTCTTACGTTTTCTTGTCCTGACTCATTCCTGGAAGGATTAAACTCGCTGTATTTTGTCTAGTTCTGATTGTGAACTCGTAGAATAGTTATTCTGCTAAGCTCTGTGCTCCTCATTCTCTGGCTTCCAGGACCTGTGAGAAGAAATTCTTCATGTAGACTTGCAAGGTAGGGAGGGAGCTCTGATGTCCTCACCGCTGGTGATCTGCTGTGCTCGGCTGGTGCAGGCTACCCTGGCGAAACGTCCCCTTGGAATTAGCGGTGTCCATTAAGGGCTCACACTGATGGGGGCAGGAATCTATTCAACCTAGTGGGCGTTAAAGAAACCTTTTTAAAGATTTTAGGGGGAAAAATCTGTTTGTTTGGAGTAGTCAGCTTTCTGTGTTTCCAAAGCTAAAAAATATATATTATATATATATTTATATTTGTGACTAAAGCCGAAATTTTTTTAAAACAGAAAAACAGGTATTTTGGGGAGGCTGCCCCTTCTCCCAGTTTATTACACTAACAATAACAACAACAAAATAGCTATGGCCCTTGAGCACTGATTTAAACACTAGAGGAGCTCATTTAATATCGTGAGTCTTGAGAGAGTGCTAGTGTTATTTGCCCTTTACAGGTGAGGAATTTGAGGAGCAGACTTTGAAACCAAGGGTGCTTGACTCCAGAGGTTTTGCTTCCCGCCAGAAGGCCTTATGGTCCCCCTTTTATATTACGTTACTACATCCATTTTGTTCGTCTCCCTACGTGCTGGAGAGAACGCGGCATGCTCAGCAAGCACGCATGAATGAGCTACTTCAGTGCAGTTGTACCCGTGGTTATCACGTCTTCTCCTCCTCCCTAGCTACGGGGTGCTGCTTTGGGAGCTACTGACTGGTGAGGTGCCCTTCCGAGGGATCGATGGCCTGGCAGTCGCTTATGGAGTGGCCATGAACAAACTCGCCCTCCCCATCCCTTCTACATGCCCAGAACCTTTTGCCAAACTCATGGAAGGTAAGTGATCCCTGGCCAGGACAAAACTGGAGACGGTTCACCTTCCTATCAGCACTTGATAGATTTTGGCCAATTCTGCAGGATCAGTTACTGAAAAAGGAGATGAAGTATTAGTCACCCAAGGAGGAATCCTATGGGTGGTTGGAAGAGCTACTTCAAGATGATATTAGCACCCTGATAGTAGATGTCACAGCTGTCCCTTCTGTCCTTCTCCAGTGACTGTAGATCTTAACTTAGTAACTAAAGCCTGCTATCCAGTTCTTCATTATATTATTAACTCAAATGAAGAAGGTATAATAGCTTTTATTTTAGGACCTCTGCGTGTCTTACATGTAGAAATAAAGAGCACCTGAGAAGAAAGGAACTCTCAAAGTCATCTGGTCAAATCCTACAATTTTGTGAGAAATCCAAAGCTGAGAAAAGCTAAGTGGATGGGTGGCCGCTCCATTAGTAAGAGCTGAGTTGCAAGTAGAAAGAATTCATTTTTCCTGACTCCCACTCCAGTGTTGTTGATCCTTGCCTTCTCAATTGCCCATTGAGGTCGGGGAGGGTAGCTCATTGGTTTTTGGAAAATTGAGGCCCAAGGTGTAGTTACTCACTGTAGGACTGGAATCGTGAGTAGCTGGATCAAGTGTGGTAGTGTACTTCACACAAGGGAACTCTTTGGACTTGCCTTTCTTGTGCTGAATCAATAGTCACCATTGGATGGGTGCACAAGTGCAGCATTTTCTTTCCAAGTTCACCCTCTTTGATTGTGATGCTGGGCACCTGGCTTTACTTCCTAAGCCCTGTTTGTGGACCTAAATCCCAGTCTCTGTTTCTGAAAGGAGAAATGAGAGGTAGTTGTCTGGTAAATGAGGTCATCATATCCTAAGTCTAACATTTGCCTCTATCCATTCATGCTTTTTGTCTGCTCCTGTGCTCCGTGAAGATTGCTGGAATCCTGACCCCCATTCACGACCACCCTTCACAAATATCCTGGACCAGCTAACTACCATAGAGGAGTCTGGTTTCTTTGAAATGCCCAAGGACTCCTTCCACTGCCTGCAGGATGACTGGAAACATGAGATTCAGGAGATGTTTGACCAACTCAGGGCCAAAGAAAAGGTAAGAGGAAAAAGATAAAGTCGTGCATTGGATCAGTGAGCCTTCTCTGCTGGAGCCTCTGGGCAGATCCTGACACGACCACCTTCCTGCTTGGTTTGCAATAACGGGGCAGCTCTTTCCTTCTCTGCTTTGCATGGAAAGAATGCTCCAGGCCTCAGGTATGACCTGAAATGGTATAGGCTTTTTCTTCTTTTGGAAATATGGAGGGAATAAGCAGGGGGCGTCGGAGCCAAAGCTCTCCTTGAGCCTATCTACTTCATTGTCCAAACTGAGGGATCACACCATTGGGCAAGTACCAACGTGGTGTCTCACCTGCCAGCTGAAAGTGCAAAAGAGTTCTCCAAAGGTTTCTTGGCTCTGCAATGGACTTTTCGAGGGGTAGCTTGATTCCAAGGATACTTCAACATGGAGAACAGTTATCGGAACACCTTGCCAGTGTCTTCTGGTATCAGAATCAGAAATAGCATGTGGGCTAAAAATACTATGAATCTGAAATTGTTGGGCATTTTTCATGTTTTTGTGAAAAGGGCTGACAGTCCAAACCAACCAGGGAGTTCAGAGACTTAGCCAGGTAGAGATCCATCTTCCTGTTTTGAGGCCGTTCTGTAAATGTCCCCTCTCTATGCCCTTGGTGCAGTCAGTGTCCCCACAGGTAAAGTTAATCAAAGCAGCTGGGTTGCTTTATACTGCAGGGACAGAACTAAATCTAAGGGCTATAGCGAGGGCCCGGAGGGAGGTCTATATATAGACTTGGTTAATTTCTCTTTCCCTTCTCACTCCCCACCATGGGAATTTGGGAAGCAACATGATAATAATAGCAGCTAAAATTACACGTATCTTTATGACTTCCCAGTTCTTCCACTTGAAAGGTCTGCTAAGACCTTCTCATCCTTTTTATCGTGGAGTCTTATGCCCCTGCCACCAGCATGTAGGGCAGGTGTCATTATCTTTTTCTTCTCAGAACTGAGGGTCAGTGACTTGTGTAGGTAAGCAGGGAACCAGAAACTTCAACCTGGGTCTTCGGATTCCCAAATCATCCTCTTCGCGGTATCATTATTGTTCCCTAAACAAATGACTTCAACATCATTTCCAGAGCTGATGTAACAAGATTAAATTCTTTTTATTCAACAGAGCAATCCTAAACTTGGTACTGTTTGTCGAGTCAGCGAGCATTCTGCAGGGGAATGGAGTGAGCTGACGACGAATCTTTAAGGATCTCAGGGGGAAGGGGGAGAGACCTGCACTGACCACTGAGCAGAATGATTAAAAAACTGTTCCAACTAGAAAAACTGCAGAGTTGCTGGCCTTTTGCTAGATTGCTAATCACTGACTCTCAGTTATTTCTTTTGGTTAATGAAATTATAAGGGTACCAGCCAATAAAAAAATGAAAGTTGGATTTTGTCAATAAGTAGTTACTAGGAAAAGTCAAACCCATTCTCACAATAGCTAACATTCATAGAGCAGGTACTATGTGCTGTGGTCTGTTATTTATTTATGTGAATTCTTACATAATCATACGTAATGAGATAATAATTATCTTATGTTATACAACCCTGTGATGTTGGTGCTATTGACTCCCTATCACAGATGAGGCCCCTATCAAATTGCCCAAGGCCACACAGTTCAGGCAGTTTGTTCAGTCCTCGCTCTTTTTTTCTTTTCTTTTTTTAAAATATATTTTATTGGTTTTTTAGAGAGGAAGGGAGAGGATAGAGAGTTAGAAATATCGATGAGAGAGAAACATCGATCAGCTGCCGCCTGCACACTCCTTACTGGGGATGTGCCTGCAAACAAGGTACATGCCCTTGACCGGAATCGAACCTGGGACCCTTGAGTCAGCAAGCCGACGCTCTATCCACTGAGCCAAACCGGTTAGGGCCAGTCCTCGCTCTTAACCACCACGCTGTGATGCCTCTCCACATAAGGCTTGTAGTTGGGCGAGTGAGGGTAAGATGAATAATGAGCTTTGTCTCTGGAGTGATTCCTCTTACATTATTGAAGGTAGACAATATGATTGGCACACTATGAGGTTGACCCCCCATAGGTGTTTCACAAGAAGGGGACTTACCATGTTTGAGATTCTTCCGGGTATATAGTGCCCTAGGCTAGTTAGTACTCTGTGAATGTCTTGGTTTCCTATGTGATTCAGCTTATTCTTTAGGTTGGCTCAACCTACTGCTTCTAGGTATTGTGACCTGACTTGGTCTCTGGACTGGGGTTGGGGTTCCCTAAAAGGAAGGAGCTTAGCCTCAAACCATCCCTTACACAAGAGTATTCGGGAGAGAGGACTTAGACAGGCTGGTATTAGCTTGAACTGTTCAGCGCTCCCACTTAGCAGCAAATGGTAAATTATTACAACCAACCAGTAACAATTTTTCTGATTCGTCCATGTGTTTGTGTTTTCCTGATGGTGAAAGCTAAGTCATGGGACAGGGAAGCCAAAGACTTGGAAGGTGCACCATTGATCTCTTTGGAGCTTATTTCATCAAAGTAGAAGCTCAAAAGTTCAAGCTCATCTCGTAGATACTTATGATGAATCTATGTTCCATAAAGGAGGATTGCATTTATAAAAGTGTCTTCTACCTCCTCCTTTCTCATTCACTCATTCATTCATGGACTCAGCAGTTATTGAGCACCTACCATATACCAGACAATTTCCTAGGTGCTAATCCTCTTCTTGTTTCTCATTCTACTCCTTTTATGGTTATTTTGATATTCTCTTGGAAATGGAAGATTAGTCAGACAAAAAGCTCCTACCACCAGAACATTTTAATTCCCATCTCTGTTTTCTCTTCTGCTTTCTACCTGCTGCTCAGCTTTCCCAATATGTGCTCTCATACTTGCTTTTTAAAAAAGCTCTAAGTTTCTTATCTATAGTATTTTGGTTTTGTCCAGAATGACCCCTTCTAGTGGAGCATGTCATTGAGAATTTTAAGTTTCGACCACAGAAGTGTTGCTCTGGCTTCTTTATTAAAGAAACATTCCACTTTTTAAACATGGTTCTCCTAGGTTATTGACATGAGAGCTTTCTTAAATTTCCCCTTATCCCCACCCCCTTCAGTCCTAGGCCTGGAGTATCCAGTGTTAAAAGTTTAGGTTCCATATTTAAAAATTTTATACACATGCTTTGTTCTCTTTCCTATTTTCTCTCCTATTTCCTGATTCCATGTCTCCCACCTCTTCCCAGGACTCTGTGCTGGGTTCATTGATAAATTCATGCAAAAGGAAAAGGGGGTTCTGCCCACCTAATGTGGCAGCGGCTCTAGAGCAAGTGCCTGGCAAAGATTTCAGGAAATGTTCTCTCTTCTCTTGGCTGCATCGTCGCCATCCTTCCAGAGCAAATGGCTGTCCTTTAAAATAAGAAGAGCCCTAACCGGTTTGGCTCAGTGGATAGAGCGTCGGCCTGTGGACTGAAGGGTCCCAGGTTTGATTCTGGTCAAGGGCCTGTACCTTGGTTGCGGGCACATCCCCAGTAGGGAGTGTGCAGGAGGCAGCTGATCAGTGTTTCTAACTCTCTATCCCTCTCCCTTCCTCTCTGTAAAAAATCAATAAAATACATTTTAAAAAAAAATAAAGATAAGAAGAGAGTTCCGACCACATGCCTCAGCGGACTCCCTCACCAGGCGAGCATGCCTCCCCTACCTCTGCAACAGCCACTCTGGAAATCTGTGTGTTTTTTAAAAATATTTTTTTAAAAATTGATTTCCGGAACCAAGATGGCGGCATAGGTTAACGCCGGAGTTTGCTGCTTTGAACAACTACTTCAAAAGTGAAACCAAAAAACGGAAGGGACATCACCCAGAACCACAGGAACGCTGGCTGAGTGGAAGTCCTACAACTAGGAGGAAAGAGAAACGCATACGGACACTCAGAGGAGGCGCAGTGCTGAAGTCAAATTCTGAGGTGCGGAGTGCGCGAGCGGGCTGGCGGCGGAGGGCGCGGTTGGCGTTTTCAATCGGGAGGGAGTAGCAGAATCTGAGCTCCAGATCCAGGCGAGTCTTTAGGGACCCAGACTCAAACGGGAGAAGCGGGACTGTCTGACTTCGGTCAGAGCGAGTGCAGCTTTCTCTCTGAGCTTTGCAGCGGGCGCTGGGACTCAGAGAGGCAGAGCCCCTGGGGACAGGACTGAGAGCCGCCATAACTGCTCTCTCTGGCCCACCCTGTTGATCCTGTGCGACCTGCCCCGCCCAAGCCCTGCACTGAGGCATTTGCCGGATAGCCTCAGGCAAACGCCAGATTAGCACCTCCCTAGAGGACAGAAGTTCTCTCACTGCTGACACAGCTGATTCTCATAGCCACTTGGCCTGGAGGTCAAACCCTCCCTGGAATTAGCTACAACAATCAAGATTTAACTATAAGACTGCGAACAAAGACCACTAGGGGGTGCACCAAGGAAGCATAACAAAATGCGGAGACAAAGAAACAGGACAAAATTGTCAATGGAAGATATAGAGTTCAGAACCACACTTTTAAGGTCTCTCAAGAACTGTTTAGAAGCCGCCGATAAACTTAATGAGATCTACAAGAAAACTAATAAGACCCTCGATCTTATATTGGGGAACCAACTAGAAATTAAGCATACACAGACTGAAATAACGAATATTATACAGACTCCCAACAGCAGACCAGAGGAGCGCAAGAATCAAGTCAATGATTTGAAATGCGAGGAAGCAAAAAACACCCAACCGGAAAAGCAAAATGAAAAAAGAATCCAAAAATGCGAGGATAGTGTAAGGAGCCTCTGGGACAGCTTCAAGCGTACCAACATCAGAATTATAGGGGTGCCAGAAGATGAGAGAGAGCAAGATATTGAAAACCTATTTGAAGAAATAATGACAGAAAACTTCCCCCACCTGGTGAAAGAAATGGACTTACAGGTCCAAGAAGCGCGGAGAACCCCAAACAAAAGGAATCCAAAGAGGACCACACCAAGACACATCATCATTAAAATGCCAAGAGCAAAAGATAAAGAGAGAATCTTAAAAACAGCAAGAGAAAGAAACTCAGTTACCTACAAGGGAATACCCATACGACTGTCAGCTGATTTCTCAACAGAAACTTTGCAGGCCAGAAGGGAGTGGCAAGAAATATTCAAAGTGATGAATACCAAGAACCTACAACCAAGATTACTTTATCCAGCAAAGCTATCATTCAGAATTGAAGGTCAGATAAAGAGCTTCACAGATAAGGAAAAGCTAAAGGAGTTCATCACCACCAAACCAGGATTATATGAAATGCTGAAAGGTATCCTTTAAGAAGAGGAAGAGGAAGAAAAAGGTAAAGATACAAATTATGAACAACAAATATGCATCTATCAACAAGTGAATCTAAGAATCAAGTGAATAAATAATCTGGTGATCATAATAGAATCAGGGACATAGAAAGGGAATGGACTACTATTCTTGGGGGGGAAAGGGTGTGGGAGATGCGGGAAGAGACTGGACAAAAATCGTGCACATATGGATGAGGACAGTGGGTGGGGAGTGAGGGCGGAGGGTGGGGCGGGAACTGGGAGGAGGGGAGTTATGGGGGGAATAAAAAGAGGAACAAATGTAATAATCTGAACAATAAAGATTTAATTTAAAAAAAAAAAATAAAAAAAAAAAATAAAAATTGATTTCCGAGAGGAAGGAAAAAGGGAGAGAGAGAAACATCAATCATGAGAGAGAATCATTGATTGGCTGCCTCCTGCAAACCCCGCCCCCCGCACCACCACCACTGGAGATTGAGCCCACAACCCAGGCAGGTGCCCCTGACCGGAACTGAACCTGGGACCCTTCAGTCCGCAGACCAACACTCTATTCACTGAGCCAAACTGGCTAGGGGCTGTTTTTTATTTGAATGTTTTAGGTGATGCCGGCAGGGTGATTCATTTATAGTGGGCACATTTTAAGGCAGATCACGTTAAGTTGGCTCTGGTTTAAAAAAAAAAACTAACATTTTTACGTGATGGGAAAATTTAAAGTAGAATCACATCTGCAAAATATAAGTACATATTATATTTTCTACCCAACCCTCCATTTTTTTTCCTGACTCATAAGCAATTTTCATCAATAATCAAGGAACCACTGGGAGCTCTCAGTCCGGGGCTTGACCTCTGGCTCCTCTAGCTGTATCCTCAGTGTGACTGTTCTGAGCCTGCCTTTCTCCACCATCCAGGTGGGCAGGTGTTCATTCACCAGCTAACTATGGTGCTGCTGTCTCTGCTGGGGACTGGATGTAGGGGGTGTTAAAGGGGAGCTCTCCAGGTGGCCCTGAGCACCAGCCTCCGGGCCCTCAGGCCTCACCTCTCTGCACTGACACCCACTCCTACTCATGGTTCTGGGTCCTGCCGCCCCCAGGAGCTCCGCACATGGGAGGAGGAGCTGACGCGGGCTGCGCTGCAGCAGAAGAACCAGGAGGAGCTGCTGCGACGCCGCGAGCAGGAGCTGGCCGAGCGGGAGATCGACATCCTGGGACGCGAGCTCAACATCATCATCCACCAGCTGTGCCAGGAGAAGCCGCGGGTGAAGAAACGCAAGGGCAAGTTCCGCAAGAGCCGGCTGAAGCTCAAGGACGGGAACCGCATCAGCCTCCCTTCGGGTTAGTGGCCGGGGACCCACTGGGACTTGGGCACTGGGCGAGGGGCTGGGGTGGCCGGGGGTGGGCGGGAGCCAGGGGCTGAGCTGGACACATGGCAGCTGAGTCTCAACATGGAGCCGGCCTGGAATGGGCCATTCCGTTCACTGGTTGGACTGGCCTGCTGAAAAGGGACTCCACCCCAGGGCACTTCATGAGGGTGACTAAACACAGGATATGAAGGGAAGACACACTGGCGGTGGTCCTGACGGGCAAGCCCGGTCTGGCTGCTAGAAGCATGGTCACTCATGTAAGCACATCCTACCTTAGGCACATCTGGCGAAGGAAGCGTGTCATTGTGGGGAATAGAGATTCCAGAGCATGTATGTGTGAGAAAAAGAACTCTTGTCTCATCTCAGGGTTCCTTTAAATCAGCGGTTCTCAGCCTGTGGGTCGCGACCCCTTTGGGGGTCGAACGACCCTTTCACAGGGGTCGCCTAAGACCATTGGAAAACACATATATAATTGCATATTGTTTTTGTGCTGAATCACTATGCTTTCATTATGTTCAATTTGTAACAATGAAAATACATCCTGCATATCAGATATTTACATTACGATTCATAACAGTAGCAAAATTACAGTTACGAAGTAGCAACGAAAATAATTTTATGGTTGGGGGTCACCACAACATGAGGAACTGTATTAAAGGGTCGCGGCATTAGGAGGGTTGAGAACCACTGCTTTAAATAATTAGTTCACTGCGTGCAGTTGCGATTAGGACTAATATATACGAATCTGATTTACACATATCCTTTCAGAAACGCATTGGCCGAGTACAGGTACCTTTGTGGTATGCACAACCTCGGGAAAATGCGAAGAAATATGAAACTAGGCATTAGAATCTTGTGGGGGGCACTGTACCCATGGAGGGAGGTGAACGCTCAAGTGTGTGTTTATGTAGATGAAAAGGTTCACTGTATTCCGAGTCCTTAAGGCCCCAGGAAGCAAGCTTATTAGAAGTTAGGGAACGTGGGGAATATGGCCCAGTAGGAGCAGGAGTGGGTGGTCTGGAGCACAAGGATGGTGGCGCAAGCAGAGGCAAGGGAATTCGTTTAGTGAAAGCCAGTGAATGTGTTCATGGGGCCTGCCTACTGGTTTCCTTGTTGAGCATTTGTTTCCTCTTCAGGCAACACAGTCCCTAAGCATCTCTGAGCCTCCAGCATGTGCCCACAGACTGCTGCATGCTGGGGAAGCAGAGACTCGCAATCGTTCCCACCTCAGGGAGGTCACAGTCCGGGGGGCAGACTTAGGTGTCAGCGTGCAGCTGTGATTATTGTACCTCTTTGGTCGATGAGAGTAACACTCAGAAATTCAGAGCTGTACGCTTTCCATGGCTTAGGCCGAGCCTAACTGCCTTTGAAATGCATCAGAGTTTGGACCATTAGCTCCATGGCCCTCACTTCCCTAGGTTCCCACCAAGGGTTCGTTCTTATTCCCCTGCTCTGCCTGCACGTGGTGAGAAGCATTAGTCTGCCTGCTGGGGTCTCTGCGAAGATGGGTGTGCACTAATAGATTATATGAAACGGAGAATTTAAAGTTAGACTTCCTAGGATAATCACCAACTCTCAGGATCCAAAAAGGACTATTCTAAATATGTAATTGCCACACCTGTGTCCGTTTATGAAAACTGTCTCGTGACTTCCACTGGGATAAGGAGTTTTCCTTCTCCTTGTATGTCCATCCTGCCATCCTGCCATCTTTTGGGGGGAAAAGAGATGATTCTGAAAGAGAACATTTCCCAGATGAACAAGGAGTTTCTTAGGAAACAGGCCTGTCCCTCAAGCCTGCCAGGAAGTGTGTGTTTTCTAGGAGGAACTGGGTTGTGGGAACATTCTAATGCACGTGTGTTTATCTTTCTCCAAGCAGATTTCCAGCACAAGTTCACGGTGCAGGCCTCCCCCACCATGGATAAAAGGAAGAGCCTCAGCAGCAGCCGCTCCAGCCCTCCTGCAAGCCCCACCATCATCCCTCGCCTTCGAGCCATCCAGTGTGAGACTGTTTCCCAGATTACTTGGGGCCAGACCTCGGGGGCACCTGTCCCCGACTCTGTCCAGCCACCGACTGGTCCAGGCTTGCACCATCCATAGCTCCTGCCACTTCTCCTTGACAATGTGTATATACATGCACATATGTACGCGAACCTCAGCCTCCCCTGGTCTCCCTCCATTAGCTTTACTGCTGCCTCCTCTTCCTCTTCCTCGTAGTCAGATACCTGCAAAGGGTTCTGTGGGTACAGAGCGTTTTGGTGTGTGATGTAGATACAGGTTGGTACCGTGGCCTGGGCACCTTGTGCGCTCTGCCGTATTTGAAGCGTCGTTGTTTTTCTTTTGTACATGCTTCCCAGGGAAGGGTGTTTTCAAAGTGTAGGTCCTAAGAAAACTTGCCAAGTATTTTATGATAGGCCAAATCTGGACCGATTTCATTTTTCTGGCGGTGCTTATTAAAAAGAATTGATATATACACTCCTCGTAGTTCTAAGGTTGGATGGGATCTGGAGACAGATGGGCAGCATCCCCATTTAAAACTACTCCTTGTAGTTTTAAAGCATATACATGTCACATGCATGTGTGTGTGTATGTATATGAATGAACTAGTTTCCCTGATTTAAGAGATTTCATTTTTAAAAAAAAAATCCCGGATTTCTGGCTTTCCTTGAAAAACCAGACCACATCAGCGGACTCCCTTGTGCGGTGGCCACAGGTGGCTGGCGCCCACGGGGGCTTCCACGTGCTCCGTATTTTGCCTCAGTTCCCTCAACTGCTTATTTTTTGGCAACTGGCTCACTTCACTCATTTGTGGAATAAGCCAAGTCTCTGAAGCAGGTGGGTTTCAGCCCACGCCCAGAAGAGTGTTCTTCCTGTTATCTCTTCTATTTCTCTAGGCCCGTTCCTTTCCCCTGTCCCCCTCCTCCGGACTCCCTTTTCCAGAGCCTCGAAACCCTCATTTGCTTCCTTTCCACCACTTTCCTTACAAAAATTTCTGCGCTTCACACCTCCGTTGCCCCTTATCCCCGCCCCCCCCCCCCCCCCGCACACACACACTCTAGTCCCACCCAACCAAACACATGCCTCCGTCAGATCTGTCTGGAGCGCTGAGGGCCGGCTGGCCTGCGCTCCAGCTTTTCGTTGGACTCATGAGAACCTAGGAAGGGTTCCCACGTCTGGTACTTTGGGAATGCTAAGTGAGAGGGGGCTGAGAACTCCATCACTTTCCTGGAAGGCTCCACGTGGGCACGGAGTTTTTAAAGAAATGTGACTTCTTCCCAGGAGCTCCGTGTGTGTGTGTGTGTGTGTGTGTGTGTGTGTGTGTGTGTGTGTAGAGGCTGGTTTAGGGGGCTGGTGGGGAGCGCTGTCCATCTGTCTCCAGATCCCATCCAACCTTTGTTATTCACAGTGACACCAGGTGAAAGCAGCAAAACCTGGGGCCGGAGCTCAGTCATCCCAAAGGAGGAAGGAGAGGAGGAAGACAAGAGGGCTTCCAAGAAGAAGGGACGGACGTGGGGGCCGGGGACGCTGGGTCAGAAGGAGCTTGCCTCGGGCGATGAAGGGTAAGAGCCAGATGATGGGAGATTCTCATTTGAAGACGGGGCACCTTTTAAAGCTACGGTGGGAAGTACCTTTTTCTCTATTGTGCGTTTCACTTCTTCCTCAGAAATTATGAGCTTCTCGATCTTTACAACAGAGTTTGCCAATTTCCTTTTCCCCTGGAACCGCCTACGATAGGGGCCGGCATACTTTTTCCATAAAGGGCCAGATAATAAATATTTTAGGCTTTGTGGGCCGTGTGGTGTCTATGGTAACGGCTCAGTTTTATTGTGGTAGTGCAGAAGCAGCCACGGAGCATGGACGAGACGTAAGGGAAGAAGAGGTAGACCATGAGTGACAGTTCACCGACCGCCAGAGGAGTGCTACTCAGAGTAGCAAATACCCTGAGGCTGAGCCAGGTGGACAGAGTTCTGCTAGAATATTGTAATTAGACCTGGCTCTTCCCCAACACATCTGCTCAGAGGAAAGAAGGAATATGGATTAGGGGGCCCTCTTGACTGGAGACTCATCCCGAAGCTGAGGCAGGCAGAATAATCCAGTCCTGGTAGAGCAGTTATCAGCCATGGGCAAACTACGGCCCGCGGGCCGGATCCGGCCCGTTTGAAATGAATAAAACTATTGAAAAAAAAGACCGTACCCTTTTATGTAATGATGTTTACTTTGAATTTATATTAGTTCACACAAACACTCCATCCATGCTCTTGTTCCGGCCCTCCGGTCCAGTTTAAGAACCCATTGTGGCCCTCGAGTCAAAAAGTTTGCCCACCCCTGAGTTAGGTAGAACTCAGGGCCACTAGAACTTCTTTTAGGCCCCACCCCATAGCTACTCTGATGGGTGTGAGCGCCCCCTCTGGGCAAAGCGCAAAGCACGCCTTGGTGCCTTAGATGTGCTTGTGTGTGCTCTGTGGGCTTGTGGCCTAGGACTCACATTCTCCCGGTCCTTGTCCTTCGGAGGCCAGGCATTTGTAGTACACTAGTGAAGAGCTTGGATGCTGCCCCTGAGCTCCCTGGGTTCGAATTTTGGCTCCACCATGCCTAGCTGTGGAACCTTATGTTTTCTTATCCATAAAATGGGGATTATATCCATACCCGTCTCATGGAGTTGATGGAGGAGTAAATAAGCTCATCTTTGTGAAGTGCAGAGAAGATTAGCTGGCTCATCGTAAGTAGGTGTAAAATTTGCTATGCTTCTCCAATGCTTTAATGCAATTCTATTTCATACCTGAAGAACAAACACAATGGTTTATACTTCTTATTCTTGGTGAGAGAATCTAGAACCATGGCTTTTTTTTTTACTTTTCCTGGTGTGACTATAAGCAGCAACCTGCCTCACCCTTTCTAGTGGCTTTCTGAAGAGCTTCTAAGGTTGAATAGCAGACTTCTAGGTGCCCTCAACCTATAATTGGCCTTCGTGTTTCTCCAAACACGAAGATTTCGTGTCCAAAATCTAGCTCGCTATGTCAGATCTGAGCTGAATGTGAAAATACTTTGGTTCGTAAAGGATTGACTATTTGAAGCCAGGCTTTGGAGATTGCTAGCTACCCTGGGATAGAAAATTTAGGGCAAACTACCTAAGCTGTGTAGACCTCCTGGGGATGGCACATTGCTTTGCTGCACTAAGTTCTACAGGAGCAGGAGCCCTTATCTGTCCTCTGTGCCCTGGGCTGGAGAGAAGAAACTCAGTCACTCTGAATCCCATGATATGTCTGACATTAGTGTGATTGCAGATAGGACTTACCAGGTTGGCTAAGGATCCCAGTTGTTTCTGTGGTTTGGCTTCATTTAAAGAGGTTTGTTTGTTTTTTGTCTTGCTAATAAATTAAGTTTACTTTGCAATATAAAATGTTAACTTTGGGGTTTTCTTCCTCCTTATATACATTTGCTCACAAAACTTTATTTTTAAAGATTATTTTTTTTTCCAATCCTCATTCGAGGATATACCTTCATTGATTTTTGAGAGAGAGGAAGTGGGGGGGGGGGGGAGTTACATCGATGTGGAGAGAAACATTGATCAGTTGCCTCCTGTACATGCCCCAACCGGTAATCGATCCTGCAACCAAGGTATGTGTCCTGACCAGGAATCGAACCTGCGACTTTTTTGGTGGGTGAGATGATGCTCCAACAAATTGAGCCACCTGGCTAGTTTTTTGTTTTGTTTTGTTTTAGAGGGGAGGGGAGAGAAAGAGAGAGAAGCATCGGTTTGTCTTTCTACTTATTTATGCACTCAATGGTTGATTCCTATATATGCCCCAACTGGAGACTGAACCTGTAACCTTGGCGTATGGTGAGCACGATCTGACCAGCTGAACTACCCGGCCAGGGCTGCCCTCGAGACTTTTGAAGCAGTTCAAAATATGTGACTTCATTTTTCATGATTCTCAATTCCTATCTAAGAAATAAAATGGATTCTACCCAGTCTTGAATAAAAAAAACCTCTTTAATGTCAGCAAATTTTAAGAGCCTCTATATGACAATATTTCTAAATTTGGTCCCTGTCAGCTAAAGAAAATATATAGGCATAAAGCTCTATTGAATTTAGTAATGTTAAGTGAATCTGCATCTCTATATTTTAAAAACATAATAGTCCACATTTGTAGGGGAGTTTGCAGGCCCCGTAGAATGATGCTGTGGCTGCCCAGGGACCTTTGTCCCAGGGACTGGGTGATCCTGATGTGTAGCAGCTCAAGCTGGGCCTTCTTCATAAGATCCTTTTATGGTGTGGGCTTTGCTGACTGGACAAGGGGAGGGTGGCTGGTGACGTAGCTCGAGTCCAGCCTTGAGGGGTCTCCTCTAGGAGAGGCTGAGCTGGATATACCTGCTCGACCCACTACTGATTCTCTGTGTTCATTGAAGATCCCCTCAGAGACGTGAGAAAGCTAACGGGTTAAGTACCCCATCAGAATCTCCACATTTCCACTTGGGGTGAGTCTCATCGTCACCCTTTCAAATGTATTGGCAATAACCCTCCTTCCATTTCCTTGTTCTCACAGTGCACCTCATAGAATCCAGCCTCGTTATTGCCAAGCTGTGCTGACCTTTTATTTATTTATTTTAAGCAGTACCATCGTGCACCTTGGGAAAATTCCTGTGTTGGTCTGACTTTACCTTGTTCTTCACTTCCCTGATCACTCTGGTTATTGGGGTTCTCCTGGTACCCTTAGTTTTAGGGAGACCATAGTATGTACCCTTTGGTCTGCAGCACTGGCTCTGACTATGCTAACCTGGATTTCCTTGGACCCAGAGCTGGAGGCAGTGTTGTTCTAAGGTTAGCGGGCAGAAGTCTCAGGCTAGGGGTTCTAACAGCTTGCTTATCTCTTGTGGTGTATTTTGGTTCACACCACTGGTGGCTAGAATGTATTCTAGTTCATTGGTATTTGTGATGGCACTTGAAACAGATCTGAAGTCATGGAAAAACTTGGTTCTTCTCTCTCCCTCAAGAGAAACTGGGAAGAGTGGGCTTCCATTGAATGGCTTTCTAGCCCAAAAATGAGAGCCACCTCAGGTTCTAATACAGGTATCTCTAGGGCAACCACAGCGCAGATTCCTGTCCTTCCTCTCATTGTCCTCAAGGGAAAGGCCAGTGTTTCTGGGCCCCTGACTCCCCCCACCCCGCCCCCAACCACACACACACCTATCAGGGGGTTGGTGGGCTTCCCAGTCTGTGTCTGGAGTTGCTGGCTTGCTAGTGTGAGCTGATTCCAGGGATGAAAGCGAGCTCCTGTCCTTTTGCTCTCCAGTCCCAGACAAACCGAGGGCTCGCATACAGCGTTACGTCCTCCCCACATAGGTCTGTCCCAAAGTGCACTGGGTTGGTGCAGCTGTGTTGGTTGGTTTTTGATTTTGGAAAGTGAATGGCTTTGACAGTTGCCTGAGCATGCCATAAGCTTGGAAGGAGGAATTGAGAAATGATGTGAGTGGAGCCACCTGGCCGTCTCTGCCCGCTCCTCTGCCCAGGGCCTGGCTGGCATGGCATTGCAGTGTTTCTGATGTCACCCGTGTGTGGTATTCAGTGTCTGTGGATGTATGGCCTCTCCCTTAAGATGGGCTCAGGGTAGATCCTGGCCGGTGCTGGGCAGTCCTTATTCCTTCTGTCCTCTTCCCGGCCCGCCCATCAGATCCTTCCACAGCCCTTAGCAGCATGTGAAGGGGGTGGGTCACGCCACTGCTTTTCTCTCCCTGCAGCATGTGTGCTTTTGTCAATGAAGCAGGTGGGCTCAGTAAGGTTTGTTGCCTGTTCCCCAAGGCTCTAGAGGGCTCCGGTGTCATGAAGGGAGACACATTTCCACAGGCCCATGGAGCTGAGGGTGGAGTAAGGGCAGTAACCAGTATTAATAGCTTCCTCCTTTCCCCTTCTGTAGCCTCAAGTCCCTGGTAGATGGATACAAACAGTGGTCGTCCAGTGCCCCCAACCTGGGGAAGGGCCCTCGGAGCAGCCCGGCCCTGCCGGGGTTCACCAGCCTTACGGAGATGGGTAAGCATTGCCCTTGTCTAGACTCTTTCCCTGTTCCCCCAGGGAATTCTTGCCAAGCTCCTAGGACTGTGTAGGGTCCTCAGTATTACTTCATGGGGTCGTCCCCTCTTTTACTCAAATCCTGGCGCCCCACCTTTTTCCCTCTTCGTTTGCCCTATTCCCATTTCATTAAATCTTCCCAAATCACTACTGCTGCCATGGAGCCTGCCCTTGGCCTTCTGTCCCAAGGGGCCAGTGAGGGTTTCCTTAGGGCAGTGCAGAAGGGTGAGGCCTTAAATCAGGCATTTCCCTTTTCTGGGTCTGTTTCCTCATATTTCAGTGTAGGATGTCCATAAAACAAGAGATGGTGGTAGAGGCTGCCGCAGTCTTCCTCTTAAGGGAGATCACTGAGTGGGTAAGGTCTTCTCCAGGCTCTCTCTCAGAGAGTCAGCCTCTTATTTATCTCTGTAGATTCCCAAGGTCATAGTAGGTCAGTCTATAGAGAAGGTTGGCCTTCACCCATGGAGGGGATTCTAATCCTTTGCAAGAGTCCAGTCTTAAGACAAATCTCTAGGCTGTCATTCTAGAAACCCAAGGTCCCTTGCAATTCCAAAGTGCAAAAAAATTAGGGATGTTTCTGTCTATCCATTGTTCTAGGAAACTCGCTGCTCTTCTTGTGTTGAGGGTCCCTAGGAAAGAAGTAGGAAATTGGCAGATCTGCTTCTGCAAGTAGGGAAACAAGCTCTGGAATGGGGAGTGATTTCTCGCTGGTCACAGTTGAGTGTGGAGGGGTAAAGCCCTGTTGGTTCAATGCCCAGTCCCCCATCTCGCCCATCTGACTATTTGACCTCTGCATCCCTGACACTGAGCCAGGAGGCCTGGGTGGGGGAGAAGGACCAGAATCTTACTGTTGCTGCTGCATTCCCATTTTCTATTTCCCGTCTACTCTCAACTTCACAGAGGATGAGGACAGCGAAGGCCCAGGGAGTGGGGAAAGTCGTCTACAGCATTCACCCAACCAGTCCTACCTCTGTATCCCATTCCCTCGTGGAGAGGATGGGGATGGCCCCCCCAGTGACACAGCCCACGAGGAGCCCACCCCAGTCAACTCAGCCACCAGTACCCCTCAGCTGACGCCAACCAACAGCCTCAAGCGGGGCGGCGCCCACCACCGCCGCTGTGAGGTGGCTCTGCTTGGCTGTGGCGCTGTTCTCGCAGCCACAGGCCTAGGGTTTGACCTGCTGGAAGCTGGCAAGTGCCAGCTGCCTCTCCCAGAGGAGCCTGAGCCACCAGCCCGGGAGGAGAAGAAGAGGCGCGAGGGACTTTTTCAGAGGGCCAGTCGTCCTCGACGGAGCACCAGCCCCCCATCCCGGAAGCTCTTCAAGAAGGAGGAGCCCATGCTCTTGCTAGGAGACCCCTCTGCCTCCCTGACGCTGCTGTCTCTCTCCTCCATCTCCGAGTGCAACTCCACACGCTCCCTGCTGCGTTCCGACAGCGATGAGATCGTGGTGTATGAGATGCCCGTCAGCCCGGTGGAGGCCCCACCCCCGACCCCTTGCACCCACAACCCCTTGGTCAACATCCGAGTGGAGCGCTTCAAACGGGACCCTCACCAATCTCTGACTCCCACCCACGTCACCCTCACAGCCCCCACGCAGCCCAGTGGTCACCGGCGGACCCCTTCTGACGGGGCCCTCAAGCCAGCGGCTCTCCTGGCCAGCAGGAGCCCCTCCAGCAACGGGCTGGGCCCCAGCCCCGGAGCAGGTGAGTCCTGCCCCCTCCTCTCTTCTCTTTCCTGCCTTTGTGCCTTCCCCAAGGGTAGGGATGTTAGCGTGAACTCCATTCCTCCTCTGACTCAGCCAGTCCAGATGGCTGGTCTGTCCTGTGCCTCAGGGGGTCTTCCCTGAGGAGCAAGAGAGGCAGGTTCTAGGAAGGACCAGAGCTGGGATTTGGGCTCCTGTGGACGCTGGGGCCCTGGGCCTGGGAGAGCACAGGGCAGTGCTCTGGGCCTGGATGCAGAAGGCCAGCGTCAGGGTACAGGAGGGCGGGAGCCTAGCTCTGCTTGTTCCCTGCAGAAGAGATTGCAGTTACCGGAAGGAGCCTGCCCTGAACTAGGACGGGTGTTTTTTGCCGCATAGCTGTGCTCTCGCCTCATTATAGCATTAGTACAGGCACACTCATAAGCAAGCCTCCGCCCAGGCCTGCCGCCCTTCACCACTCACCCCTGACTCATGCCTGACTCTTCGGAAGTGGAGGTGTGTCCAGGTAAATTGCTGTGCTTGCGCAGGGGCCTGCCTTCTCCATCTGACACCGGTGACACCTGAGCACGCCTGCACCCTTCCTGGGTCTGTCCCATCACTAGCCCTTCCTCCCAGAAGACCTGAGTCTGACTTGGAAGCTGCCTCTAATCCAGTAGGAGACGCGATGCAGTACTTTTCAAGGGGATTTGCCTGTAAATGATCATTGTATTCGCCCATTCAGCTGTCTCTCCCCTCTTCAGATTTTTTTTTTTATAAAGGAACTCATCCTTTATTTTTTTAAAATATATTTTATTGATTATTTACAGAGAGGAAGGGAGAGGGATAGAGAGTTAGAAACATCGATGAGAGAGAAACATTGATCAGCTGCCTCCTGCACACCCCCCACTGGGGAGGTGCCCGCAACCAAGGTACATGCCCTTGACCGGGAATCGAACCTGGGACCCTTGAGTCTACAGGCTGACGCTCTATCCACTGAGCCAAACCGGTTAGGGCAAGATTTTTTTGTTAAACATAAATATGTGACCTCTCCCTATATTACTCCCTTTTTTTAGGTTTCTGATGCCTAGCTTTGTCCTCATCACATGTTTATTAAATGGATGAACTGGGAATAAACAGACATTTCCTTAAGTCATGGGTCAGCAAACGTTTTTGGTAAAGGGCCAGACGGTCAGTATTTTAGGCTTGGTGGGACATACAGTGTCTGTTGTAACTGCTCACCTCCGCTGCTGCAGTGGGAGAGCAGGCAGTAGGTGTGGCTCTGTTCCAATAAAACTTTATTTACAAACACAGGTGGCTGGCCTGCGAGTTGTAGTTTGCCAGCATCTGCCTTAAGTCATTTTATTATAGATGTAACCCCCATCTGTCCCATTGTTGTTGTCAGATATAGTGACCATGGTCTTCTAGTTCACTGTTGTATTTTCCAGGGCCTCCCAACACACTGCATGGCACATGGTAGATGCTCATTAAGTACTTGTTGTTTGTGTTATCCCAAGTGAGTAGGGCCTTGGCAAGGTGGGGATGGAGCAGAGTATACCTGGCCCAGAAACAAGGGACCCTCATCTGATGCCACTCCCTTTGTCTTTTTGACCAGGAATGTTGAAAACCCCCAGCCCCAGCCGAGACCCAGGTGAATTCCCCCGTCTCCCTGACCCCAATGTAGTTTTCCCCCCAACCCCGAGGCGCTGGAACACACAGCAGGACTCCGCCTTGGAGAGACCCAGGACCCTGGAGTTCCTGCCTCGGCCGCGTCCTTCCGCCAGCCGGCAACGGCTGGACCCCTGGTGGTTTGTGTCCCCCAGCCACGCCCGTAGCGCCTCCCCGGCCAACAGCTCCAGCACAGAGACACCCAGCAACCTGGACTCCTGCCTTGCTAGCAGCAGCAGCACTTTGGAGGAGCGGCCTGGGCTCCCCGCCCTGCTCCCGTTCCAGGCGGGGCCGCTGCCCCCCACCGAGCGGACGCTGTTGGACCTGGACGCCGAGGGCCAGAGTCAGGACAGCACTGTGCCACTGTGTAGAGCTGAACTGAGCGCACACAGGCCTGCCTCTTATGAGATCCAGCAAGAGTTCTGGTCTTAGCATGGGAAGGCTCAGGGTGGGCAAGGGGGACGCAGGAGGAGATGGGGGAGCTGGCTGGCACAGCCCTTTCTCAGAGTTGGACCCCTGAGATCCAGTCCCACTTCTTGCACTGATAATGCACTTTGAAGACGGAAGGGATGGAAGCAGAGCCACTTCAGAGGGTCGCTAGCCCTGCAGGGCCTTTTACCTGTGTCCACTGGAGGGGCTGTGGCTATCAGCTCTGGCTGTAGGGGAGGGGGGTACGTGCATGTCCCCCACCCTCCACAGTCTTCCTCGCCTTTAGGGTGACCCTGTGGCGTCACTCAGCCAAATCTGTCTGCTGCTCCCTCTCCTCAGCCCCCTGGGTATGCCCAGGGCCTGTCCTGGGGGCCCTGTTAGCCCTGAGTTCAGCCTTCCCAAGCATCAGTATTGGATGTTCTGTGATTGATTTTATTTCTCTTCCACATTCTTCCCCAACACCCATGAATCAGAATCTTGTTTGATGTGAGCTTTTCTGTGTCCTAAGCCCTTCCATGCCAGCTGGGGGACGGATGGACCCGGCACTACCTCCCTGCACTTCCAGGTGCCCACCTATTTATGTGAGCCTGCCCGTGGTAGGGGAGCTGCCTCAGTGAGAGCTGGGGGCAGGAAGGGTGTTAGGGAAAGTACAGTTAGGTGCAGTAAAGACGGTAACGGAGCCTGTCCATCCTTGTTCCTTTTGGCACCCATCTCCTCCCTGGGGTCCACATATGGTCAGGCCAGGTTCCGATACAAACATAAGCTCATCCCACGACCAGTTGCTTGGGATGCCAGAGACCAAGTTCCTCCGTTTGTCCCTTTTGTTGTCTGATCTTTATGTGTCATTCCCTTCCCGCGAGCTTTCCTCCAGTCCCTGGAAATAGTGGACTTTGGGTTCCGTATTTGGTTGGTAGATACCTCTGCATTGCACCAGAATAGCATATGGGGTGGGGGTGGGGGATCCTCGACACTGGGGGTTGGAACTGGGCAAGGGTGTTCCTTCTCAGCCAGGCCATCCATTCTGAAATGCCCGTGAAGCAAAACAGAGCCCTTAGTAGTACCTTCCGTGAATGGATGAGTGCGGCGGCGATGATTGTAAGGTGCTCCGTGAGCCACCAATGTACAGTAACCTCCAAGTCCCGGCACTGGCCACTGGCCAAGGCTCTTGTCTCTGTGCACAGATGGCCCCAATGCTGGACTCTGGAGCCAGGTAGGAAGGACAACAGTGGCCAACCCTGACTTTTCTGGAATTTGATTCCTTGACTTGAATGTTGAGCTTCTTCTGGAGCTTTCTCTTACGTGTCTTCACTACTCCACTCACTCTGAGGCCTCCTGCATCAGTGAGGCCTCCTGCGTCCGTGGGAACAGCTGTCTCTGAGTGGGGGAAACAGCGTGATTGGGACTAGAGTCCTTAGGTCCTGCTCCTCCCCCCTCAAGACTCTGTGTTGCTCCACCGCCTTTTATCGTGGAACGTTCCTCTGGAGATGTTGGTGGCCAGCCTGCAGGCTCCTTGCTCTTGCTGCCTGAATGTCAGAACAGGGAGAGCGGTGAAGCAGGTCCAAGTGATAGATATGGTCACTGCTCTCTCTCTGCACCTGTGACAGACATCCTGCCGTGGGGATGGCTTTCAAATCGTTCCTTGTTTTATGAGCCCACTGGCACTTTGGTTCAAGGGCCCCACCTAGTCTTGGATGGGGAGGCACTATTGGTTTTGTGGCCCAGGGTTTGTTGTTGCATCTCATCCTCTCTTTGTCTTTGTTCAGTGAAGCCTACATGTAGGAGATGATTTTTGCCCCGATTCCCCACTCCTTAGCTAGGAGGGATAAACTGTGAGTCCAGCCAGGACTTCTCTTCATTCCTGGTGGGAGAGGGACACAGGTGGTCTGTTCTCTGCCCCTACCTGAACTCTGCATAGCTCCAGTCCCAGCCACCAACACACCTGTAAGCCACAAAGCGGCTCTCGGGGGGAGGTGGGTGCAGCCTGCAGCGTGATCCAAACCATGCCGACTCTGGATGGCGCTCTGTGGTGTGAGGCAGGGATGCTTCCTTTGCTCATGTTCTACCTTTAGCCATTTTGTTAGGTGGTAGCCATCTTTCTTGGAAGTGTAACCAATACAGCATAAACCGAGTGACGGCCACTTGCCACTGAGTGACAGTTGAACCCCGCTCTTACTTCTCCATCCAGGAGGGAGCCAGAGGCTGGGTCTCTGCTGAGGAAAGCACTGTAACTGCCAGGGGCAGCAGCGGGGTTCTTCTGAAAATGCTTCCGTGAGTTTCCATGATGATGAAGGAGCTACCGTCTCTCTCTGCTGGGCCCCTGGGATAAGGATCCTATAGGGTAGCAGGTTTGAGGTACTTTCTGTCTATTCAGGTTCCCTGGCCTCTGTGGTCATGGCCAGGCTCAGGCCTTGAACCTGGGGACCAGGCTTCCTCTGCGACAGCAATAGCCTCCCTTTCCCCTTTTCTCTCTCCTCAGAGACTTCCCCTTACTCTTGGCTGGTGCTCACTACATGGACGATGCTGATAGGAAACAGACCCTGTTCTCTGCCCCTTATCCTTAGAGCTGTTGGCTCCTTCCACTGATGCTAAACAGATTAGCCTTCATTTACCTCCTGGGGCATCCAGGCCACTGCTGGGGCTGAGTAGATGTCCTAGATATCCTCATATGTTATTTCTAAGAGACGTTGGTATGTGCTCTTAACTTCCCATCCTTTAGTTACCTGAGGGTTTGGTGGTGGTTGTTGATGATGATGATGATGATGGTGGTGCTACCTTATATTTGCATGACTCGGAATATTGCTAACCTTTCCTCCTGACCTAGTACAAAATTACATCACTTTCCTTCTACATTTGATGCCCTTGCTGGTAGAGAAGGGGAAATGCTTGAAGACAAAGGTTCAAGTGAAGAGAAATGAAAAAAGCTGCTTGGGTGGATTTCTGAGTCGGGCACCAGGCTCTGAGCCCTGAACACGTTGGCTCTGTTCCTCACTCTGCTTCTGCCGTCTGACCTCGGGCTTGTCTCTTCACTCTCAGATTTCCTTCCTGCAAAGGCCGCCGTCCCCGCTTCCCTCCCAAGGGCAGTGAGCACAGGATCAGCAGGTCAGTGAGGACGGACTGCTGAGGTTGGCAGTGTGGTTCTCCCCCTTTCCTTCTAGGGACTTGCCTGCCATCTCCTTCTTTGTCTTCTGGAAGAGGAGTGATTGGAGGTTGGCTTTGCGTGACTAACAGGGCCCATGGTCAGGCCCGTGCTCTTCTACTGCATTTATGTAGCACCTGATGTTTACAAGCCTCCTTCCAAATTCCCCCACTTACCGTGCCCGGCTGATCGTCTCCACCACTAGTGTCTCCAGAGGAGGAAGTGGCTGGGGGCAGCATCGGAATGACAGCGTGGGGTCTCTGATTTCTTGGAGTCCCTCCCAGAGTCTTATTTGTTCAGAGACTGGAATCAGGCCACTTCCTGGAGGAACCTTCGGGACAGGTCAGCTGGCCTGTGGGACATGTGTCATGGTGTGGGCTTCCTCACACAGCCCTTTTCCCTCAGACCACGATTGCTCAGGGACATGGTGGGGCACTGAAGGGCAGCGAGGCCTGATTTTTCTTTTTTTTTTTTTTTTTTTTATTTCAGAGAGGAAGGGAGAGGGAAAGAGATAGAAACATCAGTGCTGAGAGAGAATCATTGATCGGCTGCCCCCTGCACAACACACACTGGGGATTGAGCTCAAAATCCGGGCACGTGCCCCAACTGGGAATCGAACCATGACCTCCTGGTTCATAAGTTGATGCTCAACCACTGAGCTAGGCTGCCAGCTGGGCAAGGCCTGACTTCTTGTCAACACTCTTGCTCCAAAGCCCCCCCATTGAGCCCCCCTACCTCCCCTGCAAGGAGGGAGACACCTCCTGAGCACCCCTAACTCTTCAAGCTTGCTGTTAACAGCTCACAGGGCAGTGGGTACTGAAGACTGGATGGCTGTGAATGGTTCACTTCTGGCAGGCCCCTCAGCGCAGAACAGGACCTTTTCCTTTCATTAAGCCTTTGACTCAGGTGTGTAGCATCCTCAGGCAGGTCAGAAACACTCCATTGCCATTTAAAAAAAAAAAATTATCTTTATTGTTGAAAGTATGCAGATGTCCCCTTTTTTCCCCATTGACTCCCTTCACCCTGTACCTGCCCCTGGCCCCCCCTCCCCCAGGCGGTCTCCATGGCTTATGCATTATTGCCTCTTGAAGGATTGGGGGAAGAAGCAGGTGCCAAGTTTTCGGGGGCGGAAGGGAAGGCTGGGGAGGCCGGGCTTTTCCCGAGGCCTCTGTCAGAGACTGCACCCCTGGGTCAGAGGTGAGAACAGCCTGCAGCTCAAGGTGGTTGTGATGGGAAGTGAGGGAGGCCACGGGAGCTGCAGGAATGCGGAGATCTGAGCTGCCCATACACTAGGTGCGTGAGGTTGCAGATGTCTCTTCCTGTCCGTGGGCCTCAGCCCAGCCATGAGCTGAGGACAGTGCTGCCCCTACCGAAGCACGAAGCCCTTCTAACTTTAAGCTGTGTGGTCCTGGAGCCCCCGGTTCAGCGCTGATAAGTCTCACCTTGCTGGATTGCTTCTCTTTGGAGAAAATTATATACGTGTTGGGGGAGAGGGGAAGTGGTTGTAGGTAAAAAAAAACCCCAAACATATGGAAATAAGCAATTTCATATGCTTCCACCTGCTAGACCATCGGCCTCGCTCCATGGCTGCAGGCCTGAGGATGGTGTCCTGTGAAGCTACAGTTGTAGTCACACGTTCCCAAATGCCCCGCTCTTCCTTCAGATGAATCATTGTTTCCTTAGGTCAGCAATTCAAATGAATAAAAATCCACGTACCAGAGGACAACCTACTGCTGCTTCCTCAGTCCCCGGCTTGTTCCTGGCCTGGCTGCCTGGAGCTCACCAACTCAGGCACCTGTGTTGGAAGGTGGGCGGCAGACGTTGGAGTCCTGGCTGATGAAGGCTAATTAACAGGGCTCAGGTGCCCAATTAACCTGACCCAGCCCTGGGCCTCGGGTTGGCTGTGCGGCCAGGTGAGCCCCTCCTAGCCTAGACTGCCCAGACTGTTGACTGTTTTCCATTTGTCCTGAGGAGATGTGACAGCCATACCCCCGCCTTTGTCCATTTCCAGGCTTGGGCCCTGGAAGCAGCCTGGCCTCTGGGCTTCTGAGGGAGCCCTGGCAGGTGCTCTTCCAAAGGCTGGGCCCCTCCTTAATCTGGAGCCAGTGGGACTGGTCCGTCCTGATTCTCAGAGTCTGGTCCCTGCTTCCCTGCATCCCCTGCCCGGAGCCTTGCTTTAGGTCACAACTGCAGCTAGAATGAGCCCTGGTTCAGTTGGTTGGAGCATTGCTGCATACACCGAAAGGTGGCAGGGTTTGATTCCCGGTCAGGGCACATACCTAGGTTGTGGGTTCAATCTCTGGATGGGGTGCGTTATAGGAGGCAACCAATCAATGTTTCTTCTCTCTCTCTCTCCCCCGCCAGGTGGGGTGCATTATAGGAGGCAACCAAACAATGTTTCTTCTCTCTCTCTCTCTCTCTCTCTCTCTCTCTCTCACACACACACACACACACACACACACACACACACAGAGACAGACAGACAGACAGACAGACAATGAATAGAGAAGGGTCCAGTGGGTTCTCAGAGCCAGGAGCTTTTCCACATCTTTGTTTCTCTTGGAAACACCCACCTTTCTCCTGACCCATCTTCCCTCCTGACTGGTCTCACCCTCCCTGCAAACACCCACAACCTAGTTTTACGAGACCGATTGGCAGGCGTGGACCTGACAACTAGACGGGTGTTTGAGGACAAAACACTGGAATACATTCCAGCCCTTTTCTACGATCGCACATGAGGCTCACATCCAGGAATTCTGAGCCCAGAGGTCAGCTGTGATTGATGAAGGAGAGTCCGGTGTGTGTGTGGGGGGGGGGGGGGGGGGGGGAGGCGTGGATATTGTCACTTGCCTGCACTTGCTGGAGGGTAAGACCAAGTTTCCGTTTCAGAGGGAATATGTTGCCCACATCCCTAAGCTCCTGCATGGACAGGTCCTGGCTTTATTTAAAATTCTGATATTGTGCTCAACGTGGATTGTTTTTCCCATTAATTTTAATTTTTTAAAATACTGCACTGAAATACAACTTATCTTGATAACTGAGTCGTGGGTACCCCCTTAAATTTTCCATCCAACGGGAGTACCTCACTGGGTCTGCTGAGCCGCTGGGGCAGAATTGTGAAGTTGGTGTTAGGATTTGTTCTGTTTTTCCTGGTTGCCCTTGCTCTGCATCCCGTGTAAGGAGTTTTCTGGTAGTATTTGTGTTTAAATAGGAATATGCTGACTGTCATCTTAGGGCAGATTTCATCTTTGGACCTACAATTGGGGGTGACTTTTCCTTGAAGTTCTCCAGTTTCCTTTCAGCCTCCCCCAAACCCTGAGGCCACTTAGAGGTATGTGTGTGTTTTAGGGGCAAAGTAGGCGATTACAGTAGAGAGGGCCGTTTTGATTCTCACCTAACGTCTCTTTGGGACATCCCGGAACTCCCAGAGATGTGAATAAATCGGACTCATTCTCTCTCCCAGATTTCAGAAAGGACTGAGGTGGGTGGAGGCGTCCTCACTCCCTTGCATGCCTGGAGCGTGTTCAGCGCACTGTGCCTGGGTCCCCGCGAGCCTTCCTCATGTCAGCCATCTCCTTTTCACTGCCGTTATTATTCTCTCATCTTTGTTTCACTCTCATCATTTATCTCTACCTCCAGTGCCAGGGCCATGCTGGCTGTGGCTCTTTTCTCCGTCACTGTCAGAGTGAAGCATAGACTTAGCCTGGTCTCTGCGTGGCTAACAAGGAATCAGAAACCACACGTTTCCTCTATGTGGGAGGCGGTGTCCTAGAGGTATTATTATTACCATTATTATTATTTTGACTCACAATAATCCTGGGAGGGAAGGTATGACCCCCATCTGAGGATGTGGAAACTGAGGCTCAGATAACTCTATAACGTGCCCCAGGTCCCACACACAGCTAGGAAGCAGCATTACTGAACTGCTTGGCTCCAAAGCTGTGCCACTGTTGAGAAGCCCTGGGATAAGATGTGCCTAGTGTAGGCCCCCCAAGCCTTGAGATGGCTCTGTGTCCAAGGGGGAGCATATCCTGTGGCTAATCCGTCTGCCTTCGTCCCTGGGCTCACCCAGCAGGAACTGAAGCCTCCCAGCTCAGCCGACTCCCTCTCTGCTCCTGGCTGCTCTCTCCACCATTTCCACCATTTTTCGGGGGTTTGTTCCACGCAAGGGTTGAACACATCAATCCCGTAGCCCTTCTCCCCGCACCATGGAAGGCCTGTGGGCCTCGCTCCTGTGTTGTCAGCCCCAGTGGCCCCATGACTGCTCTTAGCCACAGCTTCCACCTCCCCTCCCTCCTAGTCTTTTGAGTGTGGAAACCTTATGGTAGCTCCTCACTGGGAACTTGAAGTCAGGCTTTTGCCTTTTGTTGCATTTAGATCCATGTGCTCTTGGTACCCAGTTGTAGCAAAGAAGGGAGTTGATGAACTTGTCAGCTTTCTCTGATTTTTTTTCATCACCCACCCTGTACACACACACACACACACATGCACGCTTGCCTACACGAACCTTTAGTTGACACTGTGTCTGTCTTCAGAGAATGAAGGAAAGGAGCTGAAGATGGGTTTTATCTCGCTTTCTTTGGGATTCGCCTCCCCGTTCGAGCCTTTGAGTCTGGGTAAGGTGAAAGGTTGCACACGCGTTCCTTTTGCTCTCTGTAACTAGCTACCAATTTTCATCCCTAGGTCTTCTCTGCTCCGTGTCCTGTCCGTGTGTCCTGACCCTGTGCCCTTGAGTTCCCATTTGCTTTGGGATTTAAATTATTGTTAATATTGTCAACAATATTAAAAATAGAAAAGTCCTGAAGGAAACTTTTCAGGTTCTTTCCTTTGGCTGTTTGTTTTCCAGGTACTGTAAATTGTTGACTAAGGATGCCAAGCTGGCTTGGTTCAATGGCTAAACCTCTTATCGTATTACAGTGCAATGCTGGTCTCAGCCTGGTCTCACCACCAGAGCACACACAAACTTGAATAAAACTGGTATAGCAATGACTTCTGGTTTACTGTGGTGCTTTATACATTTGTCCTTGCCCCTCTTTTCTTTGTAATTAAATAAGATGTCCAAGTAACTGGCTGTTTCTGGGAATTTCCACATGTAGGGAAAAAATAACCAGAGAGAAATGGATATGGCGCAGGGAAGAGGTGGGAGAGGAGCCCCCCCGTTGAAGGTCCTAGCACCCCCAGCTGGACCACAGGGGCCTTTCTGAAGCATGGCCCTGAGTGACGTCTGTCCAGGTGATTGAGTCTCTTCTCGTAACTGACTTTAGAACAGGTCATGGGTTTTGGCTTTCAGAGCTCTTAGCAAGTGTGTGTTGTCTCTCATCCTCTACCCTGATATTGCTGGTGAAGTTGTGAATGGGGTTAAGAGGACAAACACAGATGGGGTTTGACACTTATAGACAAGATTTGTGGGCTCTGAGTCATGGATTCCTTGTGGTCTTGATAGTCTTAATGGCCCTTATGAGCTGTGTGACCTTAGGCAAGATGCTTAACCTCTTTGGGCCACTTCTGCAGCAAGCTGATCATAGCACAGCTGTTGTGCTCTAACTTTGACTGAGGGTTGGGTGGGATGTGGGTGAAAACAGACAGGAAGAATTTTGTTTGGGGCCATTCTTCGCCTCTTTAGTCCCCCTTTTCATCATTTAGCTGCACGTGGAAAAATGGCTTCTGAACTTCAATATTGACACCCTCATTTCACTCCATACCTTTCCCCTGCACCCCGGGAGGGGTGACAGTGCCGGATGCTTAGACTATGAAGAGAAAGAGGACCTTTTGCTGAATTTCAAGGTAGGTCCAGGGCCCACATAACCTTTGTAAAGCAGATTGGGCAGAGGTGAAAAATTGACCAAACTCCTTGCTGAAGAAGATGCCTGTGTATAAGTTGTCCCATGTTTCTGGAAAGCAGTATGGCCATGCAGCATTCATTTTATAACATGGGCCCAGAAATGCCATTCAGTAATAAAAAC